GTGGATGTCAGGTTGACTAGTGCATCTCCAATGTCTCTGTCTTGATATTGCATTCTAAAACCTCCACCTATAGAGTGCCACAGTGACGCGTCCTAAAACCCGGAAGTAAGTTAGCATTTTACCACTTCCGGTTCCCTCGACAAAAAAGTAATGCAATTTCTCCATAGGATTTTGGAAAATAGCTCGAAATAAGGTCTGTGGTTGAGACACATTTAAGAGACGGATCACGTTTTGTTCAGTCGGATAATATCCACATGTCTACCCTACTTTTATAATTTTCGGATCATAAATCTATCGATCATAAATCTATCGATTAGATTTATGATTGTAAACACAAAGGAAATAAATAAATAAATAAGGTGTATTTAAACGATCTTAACCCAGCATAAAGCACACACCCTCACCCTCAAAGCATGGTCAACAAGACGGGCAGCGTGTTACAAGGAGACTCACATAGCCAAATACAAAGACAGATGGTAAATTAGTTGTTTATCTTGACACAACACTAAATGGATAAACGTTTAAACATAGTTTTAAACAAAAAAAAACAACCATTTCAAATCCTTACCTTATTTAAAAGTGTTTTTGGGTTAGACACTCTCACAGACAGTGGGTAGCGGTGTAATGGCGGCTGCAGAAAATCTTGAAGTCACCTTGCTTTGTACGTCACGTGGTCATGTGACATGCTTTGAAGTGAAAAAAACGATTTCAGGGGGAATGTGTTTTGCTTCTGGGCAAACGGAAAAAATCATGTCGAAAACGGAAACCAGGATTCTTAATTAGACCAATTTAAAAATGTACTTTGATTAAATGGCACAGTCATTACACTTTTTTCAGTGTAGGCCAGTGCCTTGTCCACTTCAAATACATAACTGCAGTATCTCAGGTATTTGAAGTGTAAAGGCCCATATCTCAACATTAATTGGTTGGCATCCAACAAAAGTCAAACTGTACGCCCGGCGTCCTCTAGGCTGTCCTACAGAGAGGTCACACCGTCCTCTACACTGAACAAAATGATACTTTGGATCAACTTAATTTTTTTCCGCTAATTTGTTACAGCACTTTTTTTTTGTTTATTCCAAATACATTTTTTGACCTCAAAAAATTAAGTTGAGTTAAGTAAAAAATATTGCTTCCGTCTAAGATATATATTTACATTTACACAAAGTAATAAGTTGATTCTTTCTGAAGACTGCACAACATTTAATACTTTGTTATAACTTAATTTTTCCTTTTGGACTAACCTCATATTTATTATTAGATCTAAGTAAAGTTTTTAAGTTTGAGAAAACAAATAAAAAAAAATACTTCATTTTGTTGCAGGCAATATTTTTTGATTACACCTTGCTTTGTACGTCACGTGGTCATGTGACATGCTTTGAAGTGAAAAAAACGATTTCAGGGGGAATGTGTTTTGCTTCTGGGCAAACGGAAAAAATCATGTTGAAAACGGAAACCAGGATTCTTAATTAGACCAATTTAAAAATGTACTTGATTAAATGACACAGTCGTTACACTTCTTTCAGTGTAGGCCAGTGCTTCTCAACCTGTTTTCAGTAATGTACCCCCTTTCAAACTTTTTCCGCCTGACCGACCCCGAACATTTTTGATAGAAAAAGCCTATATAAATAATTACAATATAGTGATGTTCCATCAGTGTGTGATTTATCAACTCCTTCATGCATGAATTACAACAAACTTTTTTCATCTTTTTGCATGAGACATTTTTTTAAACAGATTTTTAAGTAATATATGTTTAACAAACCAATGAACAAAATGATATATTATGCAAAAACTATAAAATACAATACAAAAATATTATAATAAAATCCACTGTGGTGCCTGATGTGCAACTCCGAATCCCCATGCATATACAAAAAACGTTGTAACTGAAAAAAATGTGCAATTATAAACAAACTATGTAATAACACTGCACTGACACTATTTAGGAGTTTTAGGTCCTCAGCGATCGTGAACGGCTTTTTGACTTTAGCGATGAGCAGTGACACCGCATGCCTTCAGTGCTTTGGCTGATGTGGCGGAGGCTTTTCGCATCATCTCTTGCGAGGATCTGTACTCAGACAGTTTTCTCTTGAAAAACTCCGGTGGCTTACCAACATGACACAGGTGTTTGGTGCTGAGATGTCTCTGGAGGTGCGCTGGTTTCATCGAGCTGTTGGCTAGTTTCTCCCCACAGAAAAAACACAATGCCTGGGGCGGGTTGCCGTTTGTTGACGTGAATCCCGTCAAAGCATACGCCTCCTGATATTGACGGCATTTTGTTGGCTCAATTTTGGCTTTCTTTTTTTCTCCGTTGTCCACGTTCCCTGCTGTAGTGCTGCTACGTTTGAACCATTTCAATGTCTATTTGTTATAATCTAATATTGCAACTGGCTTCCTGCTCAGCGTGGTTCTGGGCTAGAGCCTGATTTAGCTCTGGTTTACTTCCTGTTTACATCGCAGCGGAGCTGGCTCTCAGTACCGAAACCCGGTTCTTAGCTGGCCCCACTCGGCTGACCGGCAAGAACCAATTCTTCACGCTTACGAGATTAACCTGAGCAATAACAGTTAATCGCGAGAACGGCAAGTTGTAACAAGCAGTAGCGCTGAGCAAAGTGACTAGAACGTGACCACACACTTGTAAAAACAGAGAAGAACCAATTAAGCACCAGAAAAGCACAAGAACGGATCTTGAACCCTTGGTGGTTCTAGGAATATTTTATATACAATTGTGTTTTCTATTTAACTTATTGTACTATGATTATTTTTGAAATCATGCATGGTATTTTTTTAATTAACCTTTTTTTTTTATCTCACGTACCGCCTGCAGTACCCTAACGTACCCCTAGGGGTCCGCGTACCTCCATTTGAGAATCACTGCTCTAGGCTGTCCTACGAAAGATCTCCTGCTTTCAGCCCTCCAGCCCTCTAGGCCAGCCCCCAGAGAAGTCCCGCCGTGGCCCTTCGCTATGGGCTCAGAACAGTCTCATAATACACATGCACACAGAAGGATTCACACTTGTATTTCATGATTCACACTTGTGTTTTTCAATGCTCACACAAATGTGTTCCGTTTCATATTCATGTAAATAAAATCCAAATGCAGAAAAAAGTTTTACATATGTATTTTTGATCCTCACATATTTGTTTTCCGTTTAAAACCTCTGCACCTGCAAACACAAGCCGCTTTCTGTGCATGGATCGCTGTGCATTCGTGTGTGGGTTTTTTGAGACTCCCCTGACGGTCACCCGATTCGTACTTGTAATTTTTTCTATCTATAGCCAATCAGATGTCTCCTTCATTCTAAGCCAATCACATGAGCGCGCCCCCACGAGGGTATGATTTATTGCGTTCATGACACTTCATATACGCATTTTGCGCTGTCCGGAGCAGGGTTTCCGCGGACAGAATTTATTTTACCGGACAAATTTGAAACTTACCGGTCATGTTTCAATAATAATAATAATAATAAGAAGAATTGTGTAGCAGAGTTTCCGTTAGCAGGTAATTACCGGACTATGACCGGATATGGCTAATAACACGGGAGTAAGGATCATCTCTTTTCCTCTCTCCCTCCCTCTCTCCTGACAGCCCGTCAGTTTCTCATGCAGCTCGCTAAAACTTCACTCGCGTTTATGTCCATATCGATCAGATCCAGCTCTCCTGATCGGCCTTTATAGAGAGCACCGATCAAACTATTAAGAGTGAATATCGGCCGATAATGACCGGCGGGGCTCCCCCCGTTGACAGTTCACTGTCTAGCACTGGCTTCGTAGTGCACTGATCGATTAGGCTAAGCTAACCTGTAGCTGCTCCCTCCACACTCACAACAACTTCATACAGACATAAATAAAGCAGCTGTATTCGCCATACAGGAAACACACATTTAAAACGGTTTTGCCTGCCGTTTTTGTGTACACAAGCATTTATTAATGGTTCGGAAAGTGGCACTGTACCTTAATAATATAAAGGCTTGTATTTGCGTGCATTTCCTGCTCGGAAAGTGGCAATGTACTGAGAGTGGAGGTGTCCTGAGATTAGCGCCTGCAGGCAGGCTCCATGGACCTGTCAGCTCCGGACAGCGCAAAATGCGTACATGAAGCGCTACGTCATAAACCCAAGAAATCTACCCTCGTGGGGGCGCGCTCATGTGATTGGCTTAGAATTGAGGAGACATCTGATTGGCTATAGATAGAAAAAATTACAAGTACGAATCGGGTGACCGTCAGGGGAGTCTCAAAAAACCCACACACGAATGCACAGCGATCAATGCACAGAAAGCGGCTTGTGTTTGTAGGTGCAGCGGTTTTAAACGGAAAACAAATATGTGAGGATCAAAAATACATATGTAAAACTTTTTTCTGTATTTGGATTTTATTTACATGAATATGAAACGGAACACATTTGTGTGTGCATTGAAAAACACAAGTGTGAATCCTTCTGTGTGCATGTGTGTATTATGAGACTGTTCTGAGCCCATACTTCGCCCCTGTCTCCAACCCCCTGAGCGTTCCCACAGTTCCCGTTCTGCCTTGCCCCTGGGCCGTCCGCCCAAATAACGCATTTCATTTATTTTGTTGGACAACACTTTTTTAAAATAAGTTTATATCAATATTATCATTTCATCATGATTGTCATTGTAAAACCATTTAATGCCACAAATATAATGATAAAACAACAGGTTCATAATACTTGAACACCATTGCAAAAAAGCCATTGACTGATCATCCTGAAGGATTAATTGTAATGTGAAAACTAATATTTAAATATCCTTGAATGATGGTCACTGTGTTTCTTTACTGTACTGGGTTTTAACTGTAATTTACTTTTACTGTAATCTGCTTTGCTTCTTTACTGACTTTAAATGTGTTTCTTTGCTGTAAACAACTGTGATTATTACTGAACTGCGCTCATGTAGTTAATAAAGAACAGGTTAGATTATCAGGTAACATAAACACTGAATCCTCTTCAGGTCAGTTTACAGTAGAAACAGACTTACTCTGTGTCTGAGGGTCCAGGTTCATCACTGAAGTATAGAGGAGAGCCTTTAGACTGGTCACTCTTCAGAGACAGACGGCCAGAGACTGAAGACTCTGCTCTCTGTCTGTGGAAACAACACATGTTTTACACACACCATTAGTTCATTTAAAGAGCAGTTTTAGATTTCTGTCTGTTCACCTTATTAAACATGGTTAGAGTGTTTGAGTCATGCTTGTGGGTTTCTGCTGTTACAATTCAAGTTTTTAACGTTTTACAAAGTCTTAGTATCTTTACTATTATTTACTATCGCTGATGCAAGGAGCAAGAGTTCAATTCACCTTTGTTACTGTACTCTACCAAGTTGCTTTACTGTGATCATTAAAACAAGTTTAGATTAAGAGATAATATACAAACTGAATCCTCTTCAGGTCAGTTTACAGTAGAAACAGACTTACTCTGTGTCTGAGGGTCCAGGTTCATCACTGAAGACTAGAGGTAGAGACATAGACCAGTCACTCTTCAGAGACAGACAGCTGGAGACTGGAGATCTGTCCTCTTCGTCATCTTTTAAATCACTCATCTTCTCCAGTCTGAGAGACAAACCAGTAACACTGAAGACACACACACACACACACACACACACACACACACACACACACACACACACACACACACACACACACACACACACACACACACACACACACACACACACACACACACACACACACACACACACACACACACACTCACTCACACACACACACACACACACACACACACACACACACACCCACACACACACACACACACACACACACACACACACACACACACACACATGCAGTACACATACATTATTAAAACCCACTTGTTTCAATCAAAACCATCATAACAATAAACTTGTTTAAAATACAACAATCAGTCAGACTTCAGACAGGCCTCTACATGTTGACTGTGCTGGGCTGTCACATGTTATGTAACTCTGATGGATCAGGAACCAGTACATGGAAAAACATTACAACATTTGCAGAAGTCTCATTGGACTCCAGGACGCTGATTTTGTATAAAGAAGTTATGTTCTGAAATCAGTTTAACAGAGTAAATAATGTGTTACAAAGCAGAGCCTGGTGTTAACACTCACCCTGTTGTCCTCCTCTCTGTCGAAGTGTAAAATGGCAGTTTGACTTAATTCTTCACTTCAACGCCCTCACCTGTCTGCAGCTCCTCCTCCCTTTGTTTCATAGCCTCATCAGAGGAATGTGAACATACAGGATTATATTCAGTAAGATAGAAATAGACATGCAGCAAGTAAACATCCTGCATTAAAACCCTTACTTAAGTTAAAGTGTATAGGTATTTAAGAGCTCTATTGTTAACTGTGCATTACATTATTCCCTATTATATATATATAATGCAATTTTTTGTAATTATTTGAATACAAATGTAAACGTTGTAATCTTTTTGTCAATTTACATTTCATTATATATATTTTTTCAAATTTGTTTTTATCCTAATGTATTAAAAATAATGTATTCATATTGTAATAAAAGCATTTTTTTCACTTTTTAATTTTTAATTTTATATTAATATTTTATTTTGTAGTACCTTCGTTTCAATCGTCTTTCTTTCTTATACCAATAATCGGAAAAGCAACTGCAATATTTCTTTAGTTTTTCTTTTTTACCTTAAAGGGGACCTATCATGCAAAATGCACTTTTGTACGTCTTTTCTCAAGGTTCAAGGTTCAAGGTTCTTTATTGTCAATCTGACATAGCTACAGAGTAATTATGCAGTTGAAAATCTTATGTCACAGGCTTCTCCAACAATGCAACATAATAACATAACATAATAACAATAAGAGCATGAGCAATACAAAAATAATAATAGTTATAAAAATGAAATAAAGTTATGATGTGGAATAGTGCAGTACGAGTCTATATACAAGTTATTGGAATGATATATATATATTAGGTATTAGATACATACTACTGAGTAGCAGTTGAATGTTTGATGTTGTTTCAACAGTTCAATTTTTTAACAGTCTCACTGCCCGCGGGAAGAAACTGTCTCCGAATCTTCTTGTCCTTGCCAGGATGCTGCGGTAACGTCTGCCAGACGGCAACAGAAAGAACAGTTTGTGGCTGGGGTGATGGGGGTCTTTGATAATCCGTAGTGATTTCTTCCTGAGCCGCTGGGAGTAAAGGTCCTCCATGGATGGCAGCTCCGTCCTGGTGATGTGCTGTGCAGTTTTCACCACCCTCTGTAAAGCCTTACGATCGAGGTCGGTGCAGCTGCCGTACCAGGCCGTCATGCTGCCAGTGAGGATACTCTCTATGGTGCACCTGTAGAAGTTGCAGAGTATCCTGGAATCCATTTTGAACCTCCTCAACCTGCGGAGGAAGAAGAGCCGCTGTCGAGCTTTCTTGGTGATGGTGGTGGTGTGAAGAGACCATGTCAGGTCCTCAGTGATGTGGACCCCAAGGAACCTGAAGCTTTTGACTCTCTCCACCGTAGTCCCATTGATGGCGATGGGGGCGTGTCCCTCTCCCTGCTGCTTCCTGTAGTCCACAATCAGCTCCTTTGTTTTGCTGATGTTGAGATGGAGGTTGTTATCCTGGCACCAAGATGTCAGGTTTTCGACCTCCTCTCTGTACGCCGTCTCGTCATCGTCTGTGATCTGACCGATGACGGTCGTGTCATCAGCAAACTTCACGATGGTGTTGGAGCTGTGTGTGGCCACGCAGTCGTGGGTGAACAGGGAGTAGAGGAGAGGGCTGAGCACGCAGCCTTGAGGGGCACCGGTGTTGAGAATCAGGGTGGAGGATGTGATATTTCCCACCCGCACTGCCTGGGGTCTGCCCGTCAGGAAGTTCAGGATCCACTCACAGAGGGCGCTGTTGAGCCCGAGGTCTCTGAGCTTGATGGCCAGCTTGGAGGGCACAATGGTGTTGAATGCTGAACTGTAGTCAATGAACAGCATTCTCACATATGTGTTCCTGTTCTTCGGGTCCAGGTGTGAGAGGGCAGTGTGGAGGGTGAGGGCTATGGCGTCGTCTGTGGACCTGTTTGCTCTGTAGGCAAACTGCAGGGGGTCCAGAGATTCAGGGAGGGAGGAGGTGATGAATAATTTGACTAACCGCTCAAAGCACTTCATTATGATGGAGGTGAGTGCTACTGGGCGGTAGTCGTTGGGGCAGGTGATGATTGTCTTTTTGGGGACAGGAATGATGGTGGAGTGTTTAAAACATGTGGGGACTACAGACTGCAGCAGGGACCTGTTGAAGATGTCTGTGAACACCTCTGCCAGCTGAACTGCACACACCCTGAGAACACGGCCAGGGATGCCATCAGGTCCAGGAGCCTTGTGTGGGTTAACCCTTTTAAAGGATTTACACACATCTGCCCCATTTAAAACAAAAGGGCAGTGTAGCTCCTGGTCCCTCTGTACCTCCACAGCCTGGCTGCTCTCAAAGCGTGCAAAAAAACTGTTTAGCTCATCTGGGAGAGATGCGCACGCAGACACTCCCGCAGCACCCCCCGCTGCTCCTTTGTAGTCAGTCATTGTCCTTAGTCCCGCCCACATATTCCTAGTGTTACAGCCTTTGAAGTCAGATTCCACCTTCTCTTTGTACTGTCTCTTTGCATTTTTAATTACTCTAAGGAGATCATACCTAGATTTCCTGTACTCCTCCAAATCTCCCGCTGTGTGCGCGAGAGTGCGCGCTTTCAGTTTGCCGCGCACCTCACCGTTTACCCAGGGCTTTTGATTTGGGAATGTCCGTACAGAAACCTTCGGTACCACGTCATCGATGCATTTCCCAATGTAGCAGATGACAGTGTCCGTGTGTGTGTTGATGTTATTGTCCTCAAACACACTCCAATCCGTAGATGCAAAGCAATCCTGCAGTGCCTCATCTGACTCCACGCTCCATCGTTGTACTGTCCTTGTTACCGGTCTGTCCCTTTTAAGTTTCTGCTTGTACGCAGGCAACAACAGTAGTGAGATATGGTCTGATTTGCCGAAGGGAGGGCGAGGGAGAGCCTTATATCCATTCCGGAAAGGGGAATAAACATGGTCCAGTATGTTTCCCCCGCGCGTCGGGAAGTTGATGTGTTGGTAATATTTTGGCAAAACCTTCTTCATGTTGGCGGTGTTGAAATCTCCGGCCACAACGAACGCCGCATCTGGCCGTGAAGTCTCGGTTTTATCAATAAACCCAAACAGCTGATCGAGTGCCGTGTTGTTGTCGGCGAGTGGCTGCGGCGGGATATACACTGCTGTTATCACAACAGATGTGAATTCCCTCGGCAGATGGAAGGCCCGACATGAGATCATGAGGTGCTCTAGCTGTGCGGAACAGTCCGATGAAATAATCTTCACATCTGAGCACCAGTTGTTGTTAGTCATTACACACACACCGCCTCCCTTACTTTTACCCGAGTTAGCAGTCCGGTCCTGACGAAAAATAGAGAATCCGTCAGGGACAATAGCGGAGTCCGGGATAGCGGGGTTGAGCCAAGTCTACATGAATATGTGTCCCCGGTGTTCCAGGGAACTCACCAAGTGTCAGAAAACACAACCCTCTCTATTTTCCTCCATACCCAAATCTCTAAAAAAGGGGCTGCAACGGATCTGATAAAAACTGATCCAGATTTGAACACTGTCCTGACGTCAGGACGGTGGCGCTACGGCTATTGGGCCAACTCTCCACCTATCAGGGGAATGTGGGGTTGGGCCACGGCCGGCCATTGCCGCTCGAAAGCGCTGGAGACGCTGTAGTACATATGCCAGGCCTGTAAGTGGCGCTGTAGTCTGCCACAAAAGCAGCGAAGAAGACTTCCCGCCCATAGTTACCATGGTTACCCTTCTGTTTATTCTCCGCTGTGGCTCTTTTTCTCCCTCCCCGAGGCAAGCGTTTGCTCCCGCTGCTTTAATTCAATGCAATCCCTCCCCGTCGAGGCAAGCACTGTAATTCTCTCCGGTTAGTCCACCAGCAGATGACAAACACCCACCTCTCCGCCTCTTCCAAGGAACGAGGGGACCGTGCGGCAGAGTTTCAGTTTCTTTCGCCGGTCAAGATGTCCGTTAAAGTTTAAATCTTCCGGACGAAATTAGAAAAG